GACTTTATTTTTGTTCAATTTACTTTAGTTAAGTTTACCTTATTTTAATTAAATTTACTTTAGTTACTTGAGTTTACTTTAGTTAAGTTGACTTTATTTTTGTTCAATTTACTTTAGTTAAGTTTACCTTATTTTAATTAAATTTACTTTAGTTACTTGAGTTTACTTTAGTTAAGTTGACTTTATTTTTGTTCAATTTACTTTAGTTAAGTTTACCTTATTTTAATTAAATTTACTTTAGTTACTTGAGTTTACTTTAGTTAAGTTGACTTTATTTTTGTTCAATTTACTTTAGTTAAGTTTACCTTATTTTAATTAAATTTACTTTAGTTACTTGAGTTTACTTTAGTTAAGTTGACTTTATTTTTGTTCAATTTACTTTAGTTAAGTTTACATTATTATACTTGAGTTTAGTTTTGTTACTTTACTTTGCTTTACTTTAGTTCAGCAGGTTTTTGCTGCAGCTTTTTGTTTCAGTTATATTCTGCTATTTCTTTTGAATAACAACGAAGAATCTTGTGTTTATTTTTATATTAAAAATAATCTTTTGAATCCAATTATATCCAGATTAATTATCTATTATTACTCTGAAGGGCAACAGGTTTGTTTTATTTTGAAGGTTTAGACTCTGTTCCTTTTGAAAATATTGATTTTATAAATAATGAATAATAAATACGTTGTATTCTGTCGTGTTTGTTTGTTTGTTTCAGGTGGTACAGTAAAAATGTCAACAGAAACAAGGCAGAGGACCTGCTGAGGAACGAGGTAAAACTTTTTGTTTCTTCTTATTTTACTGTTTCAAACTGAGTTAAATAATATTTACTGATTTGTTTTAGCTGTTTTGAGCCAGAATATTCTTTGTGCTGTAGCTGATCTCTTCTTTTAAAGTAAAAATATAAAAAATGACTTCAGGAAGTCTTCTGCAGTTTAAAGGTTTCCTTTCAGTTTGAAAGAGTTGAGTGTGTCGCCTCCTGCAGGACAAAGAAGGAGCCTTCATCGTCCGAGACTCCAGCACCTCAGGGATGTACACCGTGTCCGTTTACTCCAAGTCGTCCCCGGGGTAAAAACCTTCAGCTGTTTTTTCACCTGAGTCACAAAAACACCACTATCTTCAAGCCTTTAAACGTCTCAGTTCTTGTTTAAAATGTCTCAATGTTTACAATGTATTCATTTTTATAGATTGTTATTGTAACGTTTAGCTTGGTTGGCTCACTTTAGCCACTATTTAGCTAATTTAGCAATAATTTCAGCTTAAAGTTACAGTTTTAGCCACAGTTTTACTAATCTGCAAGTAGTTGTGGTTTTTGCAAAATTAGGTATTGATCTACAGATTTAGCTAACTTTAGGTTTTTCCTAATTTAGCTGTTTTTTATTTTCAGTTATTGTTTTGCTTCTTTAGCTTTTAGCTATCATTCTGTTCCTCTTAGGTGTTAGCTCATTTTGCTTAATTTAGCTAATTTCTACTGATTTGAATTATTTCTGTTTTCAGCTTCTGTTTGACTAATTTTTAACAACTTTTTAGTTAATTTAGCTATAATTTTACTGTTATCAGCTTTTAGCCACAGTTGTGCTAATTAGAGCATTTAGTTTTGCTAATGTGGGTTTTGTGCTATTGCTAATTTTAGCTTTTAACTGAAGTAATGCGAACTTTTTCTTTTAGCTATCATTATTTACCTTGCAGCTTTCAGTTTTACTGTTTTATTTAGCCTTTTGCTACTGTTCTGAGCCTTTCAACTTCCGTTTTGCTTAATATTTAGCTCATTTTAGCTACTATTTAACAGGAAAAAAAATCTGCATTTTAACAGGGCAGAAGTGATATTTGTGATGATGGATTTCAAACCAGATGTTTAGTGATGAAAATAAAAGACTTGTCGTGATTTTTTTATGAGAAAAACAAGAAAACTTTTAGGAGGAAGAGGAGGAGGAGGTTTTACATTGTGTTGTGGTTTTTAGGGAGGTGGGAGCCGTTATAAAACATTATCACATCAAAGAGACTCAAGGCACGCCCACTCTGTATTACCTGTCTGAAAAACACACATTTACCTCCATCCCTGAACTCATCGAGTACCACAAACACAACGGAGCAGGTACACACACACACACGCACACACACACACACACACACACACAGAGTTTCAACCATTACTGAGCTCTGACACGTGTAAATCTGGTCAGAGACTTCATCACGTGTCCACACCGGGTCTGTTTCAGGTCTTGTGACCCGGCTCAGGTACCCTGTAGGAAAGGAGGACAAGTCAACTCCGCCCACAGCCGGGTTCAGCTACGGTGAGTCCCGCCCACTGCCGATCCTTTGAACTCTAAACCCGCCCCCGCCGGCTCACCTCTGAACCGTTTGTCCTCCAGAGAAGTGGGAGATCAACCCGAGCGAGCTGACCTTCATGAAGGAGCTGGGCAGCGGTCAGTACGGCACCGTGAGGCTCGGCAAGTGGAGGGCTCGCCACAAGGTGGCCATCAAGAACATCAGGGAGGGGGCCATGCACGAGGAGGACTTCATCGAGGAGGCCAAAGTCATGATGTGAGGAGCGGGAAACTGAAAACAATGAAAACTAGACATGGGTTTTTATGATGTAAAAACAAATGTGCATTGCCATGTAGCATGTCAATGCAGCATGGCTTTGCCTGCAGCAGTGGACTTGTAGAATGAACTGTGACCAAGTTCAAATGTGTTTTCTACCAACTTGTGTTTGTCAAGTCAGCAGGTGTCTGTAATGAGCGTAATTGTGTAACAATACAAAGTTTGTGGAGATTTTTTGTTAAAGTTGCTGTAGCTGGGTTTTGAACCCTGATCTCCCACATGAAAGCCCATAAAGTTAACCATGAGACCATTGGAGCTGTGGCAGAGGGCACTGCCAGGGTTTGGTTTGTATGTGTGCAGCAAGAGGCCACATTGCCAATGCAATTGTTGACAGTAAACTGCAATATATTACAGCAATAAAGCAATATTAGGACAATATTATAGTAAAACATCAAAATACAATCATATTAGTATTGTAACCACTGAACTATTGAGATTAAATATTATTAAACTATGGCTCAGTACTGAGTAGATACAGTAGGGGGCAGTACTGGACCAATACAAGGCTCCATTGACTCCCATTATAAATTATTAAACATTAATATTTCAAAAATTATAAATTGTACAGGCACCAAAAGGCATAGCCATCATTTGGCACAGGACCTTTACAGATATAAATTACAATGGCAGCTCTAGGACAAAGTATGCAGGAGGAGAAGCATGGCAAAGTGGAGATGACTTGGATGGGAAACGAATCACAATAGTGTACATTGCATTGGCAATGCACACTGACAAGCCTGTCAGAAGAAACAGAGCTTAAGCTACATGTCCCCCGAGTGGTAGCCTCGCAGTACTACAACAGTTTCTACTTATAAATCCATAAATGTTATTAGTTTTTTATTTTTTCAGTCTCCTCAGCCTCACATACAAACACAACATATTTACCTGTTTTCCAGGAAGATGTCTCACCCTAAGCTGGTGCAGCTGTATGGCGTGTGCAGCCAGATGAGGCCCATCTTCATCATCACGGAGTTCATGGACCACGGCTGCCTGCTGAACTTCCTCAGGCTGCGGCGGGGCAGCTTCAGCTTGGGCTCCTTGCTGAGCATGTGCCTGGATGTGTGCGAGGGCATGGAGTACCTGGAGTCCAACAACTTCATCCACAGAGACCTGGTGAGGTCACGGCTGTTGTTTTGTAACCGAGGGGGCGGGGCTTCCTTTTCATCATGATGTTTTTTTTTTCCTCTGAAGGCTGCCAGGAACTGTCTGCTGAACGAAGCTCTGGTGGTGAAGGTGTCCGACTTCGGCATGGCCAGGTACAATTCCGTCTCTGGCGTGGTTCTTTTTTGTGTTTGAAGAGTTCAGGTGTCAACGCTGCCCCCTGCAGGTACGTATTGGACGACCAGTACACCAGCTCCTTCGGCGCCAAGTTTCCCGTCAAGTGGTCGCCTCCTGAGGTCTTCCACTTCAGCAGGTACAGCAGCAAGTCGGACGTCTGGTCCTTCGGTGAGAACGTTTTACCTGCCTACTGTTATTGTTTGTTTACATTTAAACACACACACAACACTAAATATAAACGTGTTTTTCTCTTCCAGGTGTGTTGATGTGGGAGGTGTTCACCGAGGGTCGGGTCCCGTTCGATCAGACCAAGAACCACGAGGTGGTGAAGTTCGTGAGCGAAGGTCGCCGCCTGTCCAGGCCGAAGCTGGCGACGGACGGACTCTACGACATCATGCTGTTCTGCTGGTATGAGGTGAGGAGTCAGAACCAGCAGAACCAGGACCGGTTCAGAAACACGCCACATCTTAAAAACTGTTATCTTCTGACCTACTTTAAATTATTATTATTATTATTATTATTATTATTAT